CAAGTCCGACTCTCTATCCATTAGGCCATGACTGCCCCTAAATTAATGAGTAATTAATTACAGAATTAGAATTTTTGGGTGTACTATCAACTATCAATTGTCATTCACCTTCTCTAAGTAGATATTTAATACGATATACTTTCTACAATCTTACATTTAGAGTGCCTTTGGTAACTACTAGCCTTCTTGCTGCACTGACGTTTCCATCCTCTCATATTACCGCACAGTAGACATCTAACTGTCAGCACATTGACACTGAAATCGGTATTTCGATGATAACAAAAACAGACCTTAAAATAGAGCAAATTCCTCCATGCACAAACACCACCTCTCAATATGCTCTGGCTCCTGGGCTAAATATTATCGATCTATTCCAAGATCACCACATTAACAAATGGAAAATGTATGTTACAAACAACAGACTAGGCCAAACATGTCAAAGTCCCTTAAATTTAAATCAGTTTATTTTGGGGCCATTTTGATAAAGCCCCCAGGCAGCAATGGTCTTTTCAGGCAAGTACTGTGCCTATGAAAGACCGCAAAACTACTGGCTAAGGTTATGCTCTAATAGCATGTCAAACCTGACAACAATAGCATCATTAAAAAACTCAAATCATTCTAAAGAGCTGCATTTGGTTTTGTCTAGTGCTCTAGCTTTAAACTGATTTGCTCTTTAAACCTAAAGGCTTCTTTTCCTACAGCCACCATATTGAGTGCTGTGGTTTTCTCATTCATTTCTCTACAAGCGATCCATCTTCTCCCTCTTATTCGCTCTCTGCATGATTCTGCTTTAATATGTATGGGAGGTGGAATACAGCAACACGGACAAATGTTGTTGGCCTGTACACAAGCTAAAAATGCCCCGCACAGGCTACACAGCTGAAAGCCACAAGCGCAGGCAGTGGAGCTGATCCAAAGACAGACCTGAGTGCTCACAGTGAATGACAATTCAGGTCACTGGAATCATGTGCCAAACTTTACCACGAAACAACGGTTCTGTGTTCTCTTCCTGAGTGGGGATGTTGTGTAAATATTACTCTCTGGGAGGTTTCTGTGTCCCTGCTTAAGTATAGGAATGAAACCCAAGCTCCTAAACTTGATCCATACTTATTGTCTACGCCCATTCATTTAACCAAAATACCCTCCAAATGACATATATATAAATACACAAGCACACACATGTACTAATACAGATGTCAGTGAAACAGTAGAGGCATGCTCTCAGAAAGGCGCCTATCTGGGGAGCAGCGATATACTTCACCACAGCGCTGATAAAGCATTTCAAACTCAAATGAGCACACAATGAATTTCAGACAGCATTCATTGTCTGAGATATCATCTCAGGCTGCAATTCATTTCAGTGTTCAAACTGAACGCTGACACAGGAGCAAACAACCGGTGAAGAGGGCAATGCCTCTTCGTAGCCTAGCATTTTAGCACATCGTACCACGGTGTGCATACAGACACTGCAAGTTTGATTTTGACTCTTTGAATGCAGTTCTATTACACTTTTCCTAAACAAGACGTACTGTCTTTTCAGAGCATAAGCAACAACAAAGCTTGTCCAAAACAGTACAAATGCTAGAACTGTACCAGAACCAGCACAAAATGAAACATCTGAAATATGAATGTTTCCAGTGTCACCGGTGTTTGAAATTCATAGCTGTTTGTGTTTTGTTTGAATTTCATTGCTGGGCCGCAGCCAGCAGGGCCGGGTGAGTGTAGAGGGCTGAAGTGTGAAATGAAACACTGATTGATTGAGAGACCACTCGGGGAACAGGACAACTCCACTCGAGCAGAGGTCACAGGAAGATAGGGATGCAAAAGGGCGGATGAGGGCTATGACCCCGGATCAGTTTGTATGGCACAAAACATGCCCTGATTATTAAAAGCACCAGAACTCTGCAAATCAAATGTCATTTAAACCACTTCAGATATATTCATGGGAAAAGAGTGGTATCATGAGGACTTTTTTGTTTTACTTACCAGGTTCTGGTGGTGGTTCCTGTCGTGTGCCAATTCTCAAACCGCTCTCTGCATTTCCACCACAGAAAAGGCGGTTCCAATTTAGAAAACAATCAGTTCCACTTCAGCCCTAAAAGCTTGCTGGCCTGGAACCACGAAATGGTGCAGAGAAATGTCTTGTTGAGAAATGTCAAATATGATAAACTGTGCAAGATAGAAAAATTGTGTCAAGAAAATTGAGGAAATCTCCTTCCAACACATACAAAAGAGAGCACCGGTAGTTTACGTGTGTCTACTTTAATCTCTCTCAAACAATGACAGAAAAGAGTACCAGCAGTTACTGGCATGACCATAACCAAAGATGGCAGATTTCCATGCATGTTTCAGGGGGGAAAGTGCCAGCCGAGTAACTGCCATTGAAAAGTATCAGAATGCCAACAGATAGCTTTCTCCAGGTACTACAGACATGTCCCAAGCCAGGACCAACAAGAAAGGTAATCCAGGAACATGTCCTACTTGGCAAAACCACCGCAACAAAAGAGCGCCAAAAGGTGATTCTACACAGCAACATTTTGCCTCATTTTTAGAGACAGGAAGAAATGCAGAGAATTATAGCCGGAGTAGCAGTGGAGCATACAAACAAGGTCTTTCATTTCAGGTGCTCTCTTTGGCAGCTTGAATGACCCCGTTTCTAGTCTGCCTTGAGAACTTGGGTTCAAAGTGTGGAGCGTGCTGTGAGGCGGCACGAGCTAGACAATTCCCATTACCCACGTCTTGCTCCCTGTCCTGCCATCTCGAGTCGACGCGCCACGAATACAAATAGCCAAGGCTGTGGCTAATCCCCTTCTGAATGAATGCGGACGTGATGGCCACTGTCTCACTGCTGCAAAGAGATAGAAAAGGGCCTTTGGTTTTACGTGTGGTTAAGCAGAAAAAGAAGAGCTAAGCGACTGACGGAAGGAGGGACATGGTTTTCTTCTATCCATCATGTTGATTACTCTCGCATTTGTGTGAGTGCCTGTCGCTCTGACGTCTCACAGGTTGTGGCGGCGGCAGAGCTGTTCCCAACGCAATGGCATTGTAATAGCCCACAGCAAAGACGCAACAATTAACCTTTTTATTACACGCCTGTAAGCCACAGCTGACGGTTCATGGTCTCTAAGAGAATAAAATGTGGGAGTGCAAGCAAAGAAAGGCGACTTTTTAAAGGGCTCACCTGAAAACAGAACAAAACACCGCAGGCATTGTTAGTGCTGGCAATACAAATAAATCTGCACTTTTTCAGGGTATCAAATTTAACATTTCAAAGAAAAGAAAAATGCATCATCAGTTATATATAGTACATCCAGTGCATTACTGCAGACACATTTTATGTTTGTCTTTACAATGAAACTGTGGCTTCATAGACATCCATTGCCAGTGCATGCACGTATACGTTTGTGGAAGATGATGGTACTGCTCTATATGATTTATTGATGATCTTCCTCTCTTTGACTCCCAGAGAGCAAGGGTCGAGGGCCATACTGTGTAGCAAACCTGCACATACAGTACACAGAAATGTAATGGCTCAGAGTTTTCTATTTCAAGCTCAAGCTTAATGGAATTCTGTGTTATTTTTTTATTTAAATGTCAACTTTGTCACTAAGATTTCACTTAAAATTTCTTTAGGTAGAAAACCTCATCCTTATGCGGCATTACAATGAATGTACATATGCTAAATTTTATCTAGTTAGATATGTGTAATACAAGTCATGTGCGTATTGTAAAATTAAATGATTCAATTTATCAACATGTTAGCAAGGCAAAGTTTAAACTAAGAACACAGAGTTACACAACAAATATGGATAGCATAGATGATAATTTGTTCTAGAATTAATTTGTGGAGAAATGTTTGACTTTACATTTATTATACACATATTTTTGTTTAAGTTCATTTTCAAGGTAAAGTTAGATGGTATAGTTCAGCTTAATGTTCCACTGTCTCACCTACAAAAAAATATATATTAAGTTAAAATAAAACATACAAGTATATAACTATATATATTACTGTTCATTCACATTGCAATGTAAGTATTAAAACCTGAAATATAGTACAATGAAACATTTGATCACTGCTCAATGTCTCCTCCAGTATAAAAAAGGCTGAAGGCCTCTGCTTTAAACTAGACAAATGCAAAACTATACAGTCTGTTTCTCCAAGGAAAACGGTCTAGGAGAAACATTTGAGATATTATATACACTAAGTTGTGGCTTTCCATCTCTATGGGAAAATCCAAAAAAACAGTAGTGAGATTTTTGTTGAAACACCATTTAAGCTGTGCGGACTGTCAGAAAACCACACACTTTGGTCCAATCTGTTGCACAGCTGAGAATACCTCGCTAAAAAAGACCAATGAAAATTTCCAGCCTGCACTTTGCCGGTTTTCGAGAAATAATGAGCTCGTTCACTCAAAACAGACTTCCACGGGGAAAAAGACTCTTGAGCTACCTCAAAAAAGCAGTTGCCTCTGACTTTTCAGAGCAAAACACCTTCAGAGAGATTTTAGTGAGGTTACACAGTCAACTCTGCAAGACTGTAAGGGCTTGATGTAACTTAATTGCATTCCTTTTTTCCCCTTCAACAGCAAATTGAATTTCAGGGTAAGACCCAACTCAAACACCTCATAATCCCTGCTGCTTGCCTCCTGCAAATGAAGCAAGGTCACTTTCATTTCGACTCAAAGGGCCCAATATAGCAGCAGCTGTACTGCCAAACATACCTGCTCTCACACATTTACAACAATGGTGCTGCATCAGCAGACACCCTGACTGACTTATTGAACTCCTCTGCAGGCAATATCGCTGAAGGATGAAGGCAGGACAGACAAACAGAGTTCTCTCGCTGTCATTCTGTCCTTACATTTATAACAACATGGGTCTTGAAGCAAAACCAGTTAAGAACCACTGCCCAACATGGGTCAATATATGGTGCATTTATTACACAGTTTGTGTGAAAATGCTGCGTAGATGTGTGTATCACAACACATGTGGCTTACCTGCAACATTGACTCTAGCTGTACGGCTTATGATGGTGCCCAGGTTGTCTATAGTGGCCACGCACTGGTAAACCCCCTCATCGGGTTTATTGTGTTTAGAGTGGACCACTGAGCTGATGAGCAGAGAACCCTCGGCCAGGACCTGCCTGCGATCGTCCGAGGCCAGGCTGAGGAAAGAGCCGTCTTTCTTCCATTCGATCTTGGCAGGAGACTCGCTGTGGGCTGAGCAGTTGAGCAGTGTTGGTGCTCCTCGCACTGCCAGCGTATCTGACGGCTCCGTGGAAAACCGGAATGGGCTGAAGTTCCTCACTGCTGATCCTACGAAGAAAGAGGATTCAAATCAGCCCTGGATTTCTCATCATAACACAATATGATGAACTGAAATTAGATTGAACTTTGGGTTGAGGGATTGAATAACAGAAGGTATTTGCCTCATTGCAACAAAATTAAAATTAAACACGGGCCATGGCTTTAGAATCCAAATATTTAATATAATACAACATTTGTTCATCTTAATATTTCATTTATTCTCGCATTTGAGAGCCAAACACATCCATTCAAATGTCAAAACTTTATTACTAGTGTCCAAAAATTACCAAACATTGCGGTAAAGAGGGGATAACACTTAGCGAATGCATTATAAATCATTTTAATTATAAACGTAAAATTACAAACAGAGCCCTTGGACATCAGGACATTCATTTGAATATCTTATGTTGCTCTCTCAAAAAGAAACGAGGGTTAGAACTGACAAGTCTAATGCAAAAAGTCAAACTAAGCGCAATTACTTTGCATTTGTCCTCATAAATTATTCAAATCTTGGCCTCAAGAGTCATCAGGACTTTGTGTGGATAAATAACTTGAATCATCTGTACTTCTTGGATGGGAAATGAATAATGAGCTTTTTAAGGCTTTTTTAAATACTGCACCAAGTGATGAGGCGAATGCTAAATATAGCTGGAAGCAGTTGAGACTGGTTTATGGCGAGTCTGCAAAGAGATGGCATGACTGGGGCCAGCACAAGAACCAAAAGTCATCATTCTGTCATTTTAACTCAAGGGTTAATGTCTGGGATCACTGCTAATGAGGACACCCTTCTCCCCTCTTTAACTCGAAACTGAAGCTATGTTGGAACCACATACTGCCAGTGAGTGTACATACTGCATTTGATTAAGAATTTATTTGGTACTGCAAGTAAATACTACAACTGCTGCATTGGTTTCAGAGAACTTTCAGGAAGGTCACTCTCTTTCTAAGAATGCTGTAAAAAAATCATTGTTTTTTACATTGACACTTCATCACCAAAAAAAACATGAATACAAATACATGAATTGCCCAGTGAGAATCTCAGAGAGGCGGGTCCAGTGGTGCCATCCAAATCCACTTTTCTGTTTTCCAGCTTGATTTAAAACCAATTCAGCTACTTGAAAATTACAAGCAGGTGTTTTGGAGCAGGGTTGGAATTAAAGTCTGCTGGAAGACAGTCCTCCAGGAGGAGGGTTGGCTACCCCTGATGAAGTGTCTAGTGTGTAGACGCGTTCCAAGATGTGTCATATAATAACACAATTCTTAATGCAACCCAATGATTCCCTACTCACTCCTAATGGCAGAACCCTTGAAATAGGGTCTTTTGAGGAAGCAAGGCAATTGTGTCTCTGGCTGTTTGGAACAACTGTTTGGAATGACCTTCAGTAACGACCATGTGGGAGGACATTGTGAGGTAATTATGTTGCTTACTTTCACTTGGAACGACCCTTAATGTGCCGACCCCTTCACACAGTGCCCTTCAAGGGGGCAAAAACGTTGTTTGGAATTTGCCCTACAGTGTCTCTTTAAGGACACCTACTGTCATGAAGAAGAAACAATTTCACAAAAGAGAATCTTGCTGAGCAAGTGAAAGTTAGTTGAACTGTTCACATGTTTGTTGCCGCCTATCTGAATAATCAATTTATGATGTTATGCCGTATCAAAAACTGTTTCTGTGTCCAAGCCTCTACTCACTTTCAAGTGAGAACGCTATCTCAACAGCCATTTATGAACACTATTTTTATAGCGCACCTTAAAGTACACAGCATTCCCCGGACTCACTATCAAGGACACCGATATTTTAATGACACAAAAAGGATGAATCACTGTCTGGCAAACTGATATTTTAGTGTGGAGATAAAAGTTAGGCTCATGATTTTTTGGCAGTAGCTACTACAACACAATGTGAGTGTATAATAACAACGTTTGTTGTTGGCTTTTGGAACCTGATAGAGCATTTGGACCCGGAAAACAAAGACACGCAATGTCAGACTTAACAACTGGATAACTTATCTGGTTTAATGGCACATTTGAATGTAACGTTACTGTTGAACATTCATAAGCATTAATGCTGCATTTGTGTAGCCTATACATAGATTAGCTATTAGCTACCACAAATGGCTTCATTATGGCCCATCCACATAGTGGAGGCATATTTTCTATCCCACATGGTTTTTAAAGTCTCCTGTAATGGAGTTTGGGGGTGTTGGTCAGATAGGAAGTATCGGGGTCTGTGGGTAGTAATTGTGGTCAACCCTCTGTCCACTAAGAGAGGCCTCCTGGAGCCAAACACTTAGGTTTATGTGCTGACTCGCATTTGGACTTCTATAGAAACAGCACAGAGAGCTTTACAACAGCTGCTTTTGTTGGCTGAACTGCTATATAAGATAATTGCGCTCTGGCAAATGTTAAGCTTTCCTCGAATAGTTTCCTCAAGACTGATGCGAGGCAACAATTGTTCCAGCATAAACACATCTGGATTAGATTAATTCCTGTAAAATAGCTGCACTTTCTGTTCACAAACATCATTTGCATTTCATAGTCCAGAGGTAACTGTTATATAGCTTTCAACAAAGAATTTCAATAAAGTAATTGTGTTTATAACAGACACCAATAAACTCTGGTGTATAGTGGGCTCTAAATGTCTGAGACCACTAGGTCTAATGTTAGGTCTAAAAACCTGAGTTAATTAAAATATTTACATGAATTTTTTTTTTTGCTCAGTGTTTAAAGTTTTTCAAAATGCTACAACTTGGGATTTCTATCCATATGAACTGTTCATATCCAGACTTAAACGAGAAAAATGCTAAATAAACCAAGCTGAATAAACTTGTATACATGGTATGTTGGTCTAGATGCTTAGTGTTGTCTTAAACGGAATTTAAATGAGCTTAAGATCGAGTTTTAGTATCTATTAAGTATCTGCATCCCTGAGCAACTGAACGGTTTACAGGTATCTGTAGTTTTGGTATGCACACAATATATCGGCGATCATATCAATATTCTTTAAAGTTTTTCAAAATGAGGAAAAAATGTTTATGTAATCCAGAATGCCGTCGCATCATCCAGGTGGATGCTGCACACTGGTGGTGGTTGAGGAGAGACCCCCCCCCCCCCCCCCATGATTGTAAAGCGCTTTGGGTGTACAACAATACACAATAAAGCGCTATATAAATGCATCATTCATTCATTCATTCAGAATGCTTTGGGCTCTACTCTATACTAAAGTACCATGGTATTACCATCCAATACTATCACTTTACAATGTTACCATCATAGTACTCTTTAGTATCTATCTTTTAGTACATAGTATATATTAGTATCTAAACCACTGGGCTATTTGAGCAGTTTACATATATCTGTGGTATAAAGGATGCACAATATATCAGAGATCATATTGGCATTGTTTTAAAATGTTCGAAATCCTAAAACTTACAATTTCAGGATTTTATATGAGGAACTGTTCATTTTCAGATTTAAATGAGAAGAAAGCCCAGATTAGTCTCAGGTGTTTGGACCCCACTATATATTAAAGTATTATGGTATTACCATCCAATACAGTCACTATATCATGTTACCACCATAGTACTTTTAATAAGAAACAGAAGAAAGCATAGGTAAATACACAGTAATCAAGGGAGATCTCAGTGTCTTCTACAGATGGAGAGGTCTGTATTCCACTGTTGAGATGGGAATTCCACCGTGCAGCAGAGCATCAGAAGATCAGCATACTTAATCATTAGCATGTTAGCGGCTGTTTGGATCGTGCACAGAGGTGTGCGATACAGCTTGTCCAGCTACCACTTCACCATCAGCTACAACTGATGACCATCTGCTGCTGCTCAGACCTGCATCCCAGAGTCCCACAGTAAAGCTGATACTGACACCACATTCATGGTCTCCTCCTTTTCAGCAATTTTCAAAGCTCATTAAGCTTTTCTGCTACACATCCATGAGCCATAGCAGGGACAAAAAAACGACTTCAACATACAAATAATCTATACTCTGTTTCTTACGATTTTCTTTTTTCTTACGATTTTCAGTTTATTTGAATTTGTTACAACAGGGAATTTCCACAAACATGAAAATATCAGTGGCTCTTGTAATGAGTTTCTCGTTCAGTTTACAAATATTTATTCTCGGGATTTAAAACTGGCACCATATTTATCATTTAATGGGCTCAAAACACAGAGGAAAACGTGCAGCATAGACCAATTACACAATCTCTTTAGAGTCACTTGAAATTCAGATTAGATACGAGGACTCTGTGGCTGTGAATGATTTTAAATACTAAGCAGGTCAGAAGAATATTGGATTTTCACAGGAATATTGTCATCGAAACTATGAATAATGAAAGAGAGAACAACCTTGACCATCCCTGCTGAAGGATAAGGAATATTACTAAAATAGGGCCCACTAATTTGACCACCTCAATGATTTTGAACTTGTCAAGCCCAGAAACTATATGGCACATCAATAAAATCTTCTCATGCTAACAGGAAATAGATTTAATTAACACATTGCTACCATGGTATTTGTCCAAAATACATATTTGTAGGATCATATGTTTTCGTTATTTAATAGAGGGATCTTTGGTGTCAAGAAGCAGGCAGAAGTCTAATCTATTCTACTTTTCACTGCTCAGGAATTGACTTCAAAATGTGTTCTGCAGCCCACAGTGCAGGGAACCAAGAGAAAATGAGGTTGTCTGTTTGATAAGTATGAGCTGTTACTCCTGTCCCTAGTCCTGTGAAATCCATTTTATTCCACATTCAAAGAGCACTTCAGAGCCACAGCTCCAGTCAGTAGAAATTTCTGAAGCCAGGCAGATATGGAAGAAAAAAGGTTTGTCTTGTGTGTCATCCAAAGACTTTCACCTCTATAAAGTGTCTGTCAGACTGTAGAGGGCAGATGGGTAAGATAGCTATAGAGAGTTCTTTATGATCAACTGCGACTATAATATTTTTATTAGAGATATCAGCTCAGGAAAGCCAACATACATTTTCCTGGGG